TTTTTTTTTTTTTTTTCCAGCATGACCAGTTCTTGTCGTCATTGCACCTTGATCCATCTCTTCCTGCCGCTGGGAGAAGTGAGGGCCCTGAACAAAAATACTCTCATGTTTATCCAAGGTCAGTTAAACGTGGAAAGGTTTGAAGAAAGTAAACAGCAAAATCCTTGATAGCGCTGCATTAATTGCCGGTTAAATCTCAATCGATTCTTCGCGTTGATGTAGTTACATGTAGGAGATTCTTCTTAAACAAAACATCATTGTCAGCATTAGCAGTCTTGATCTCATTTTTGCGAGATTTTACGCAATGTTGCAGCTCCCCAGCTATTGATCAACTTGAAGTTAGTTAATAAAGGTAAATTAATGGCCGCCTTTCGTAGGGAGTTTATAAAAATGATTTCGAACTTTAGCAGAGCGCTTGGCCCTGACGACGGGCTAACGTCAGAAAACGCAGCTTTACAAACACGCTACGTAAGGCGGTTAACTTCAAGTTGATCAATACTGCATTAATAGATCGTATTTTTTTTTTCATTTACAGTGAATCGGCAGAACAAGGGAGTCATAGTGTGTCAAACATCCCTGCACGAGATAAAGTGTCCATGATTCAGAATCACATACAGCAGTTAAGTCAACACAGGTATCAACGCCTTACTATGATATACTCTTCTAAAGAAGAATTTATTTTTTCATTTACTCGAACATGCATTAACGAAGTAGAAACTGTTATGTTTATATAATGTTTTATTTTCACAGATTCTTTAATCCACGGGATCCGATGAATATAAACTTGCGAAAAGCCTTTCTGGAATTTGACACAGGCTTGTAAGTACAATATAGTTACTTCTGTTGTTCTCTAGAATCTGAAAACATTTGATGTGGATCAGTGGGGCTTGACTCACTACTTCTGCAGGTGTAATTTGTTTCTGCGCGTGCAATTTGTTTCACCTCCCGTCAGAAGTAGTGAGACAGTCACCGTCCACACTACGCCGTCATCGTTTTCGAAAGCTTCGCTTTCAAAATGTTTTCCGTCCACACGAAAACGCAAAGCCGACGTTTTCAAATTCCTACGGTTTGAAGAGCGTTTTCGGAAAGCCCCGTTTTCGTGACGGATTAGTGTGGACGGTAGGCCTAACCGGAGAATTAAAGCTCCCTTTTTGAAATTCCTCCGGCGCAGTGTGGACGCTGCCTCAGTTTTGATCGGCCAGGCCATAGAGAAAGCGAGAAAATAGTTTTCTTATATTCGGTTTGTTTGATCTTTTTTCAGGAGTGGTACAATTTCAAAGGATAACTTGAGAGCCGTTCTGAAAAACCTTGGAGTTGACATGGACCAGGACACGTTTGAAAAACTCTTTGAAATGTGAGTAAAAAATCGTTGTTTTGAAATTCATACTCGAAGTCGTTCATGTCATTTGAATTGTTCATTGTTACAGAGCTCTTAAAAGAAGATTGAACTCGGTTGCTAACGGCAACGAGAAATTTAGTTTTGACACAATTTTTCGTGGCTTAAAGAGCTTCAGTACTTCACTTACCAGAGCAAATCTGCGATTTTACGCTCACCAGGCTACATATCACATATTAATATTTCAGATGTGATACAAATCATACTGGTTATATCGACTACCAAGAATTTGCCAAACACTTGACGAAGGACCTCCCCCTGAGTCGGGGAACTAAACCGGTGGCTTCTTCAGTAATGAAGGAGGACTTCTGCCCACCAGAACAGAGAAGGTAGATAGATTCAATTACTTTGTAAATGGAAACCACTGTTGGAGAATTTTATACTAAAAGTTTCAGTCCCTCGAAAAGCTGGACGAAATCACATGATTGAGTTCATTCACTCCCAGCAATGAAATCGGCTGAAAATTTAAACAAAGTCGCAAATGTAACTTGCCTAACTATATTTAAAAAAAGTACTGTTCAATATATTTCATTTAAATGGTTTTATCCAGAGATGTAAGAGTTAGAAAGTGTTGTACAGGATAAAAGCANAAGATTGAACTCGGTTGCTAACGGCAACGAGAAATTTAGTTTTGACACAATTTTTCGTGGCTTAAAGAGCGTCAGTCCTTCACTTACCAGAGCAAATCTGCGATTTTGCGCTCACCAGGCTACATATCACATATTAATATTTCAGATGTGATACAAATCATACTGGTTACATCGACTACCAAGAATTTGCCAAACACTTGACGAAGGACCTCCCCCTGAGTCGGGGAACTAAACCTGTGGCTTCTTCAGTAATGAAGGCGGACTTCTGCCCACCAGAACAGAGAAGGTAGATTAATTCAATTACTTTGCAAATAGTAACCACTGTTGGAGAATTTTATATTAAATGGTTCAGTCCACTCGAAAAGCTGGACGAAATCACATGATTGAGTTCATTTACTCCCAGCAATGAACTTGGTTGAAAATTTAAACAAAGTCGCAAATGTAACTTGCCTAATTATATTTAAACAAAGCACTGTTCAATATATTTCATTTAAATGATTTTATCCAGAGATGTAAGAGTTAGAAATTGTTGTACGGGATAAAAACATTACCAAAATGTTCGAACCACGTTAACTAACGTCCAGTGCTCGAGATTTATAACTGTGTGCGAATTTTCTTTACAGATTCACGTCCGCTCAGTTACGCACTATAGAGATGGCGAAAAGGATTTCCCCTTTATCAGTGAGCTCGCACTACTTCCACAAACATCACTCAGGAGGTTTGCAGCTATTTTGAAATTTTTCAGTCAGTAGGTCGCCCGTTCGCTCGGTCGGTCGGTCGGTCGGTCGGCCATTCAGTAAGTCAGTCTTTTTTGACTGTAACGTTCTTCTTCTGTCCTCAGCACCTCGTCTGTCAACCACTGGTCAAGATTTTATCAGACCTGATAGAATGCCAGGTACGTAGCCGTAACGAGCCCTAACATTGATGAACATGTAATGTCAATACAGTAGTCAAGAGAACTGTACAGCAACAGATCAGTAATTTGATTTGTTATCAAATTCTTTTTACCCATGATATGAGAAATGCATGGAAATCAGTAGGAAGAATCTGTATTGTTATCGCTGAGTTGAAAGAAGTTAACGTTAAGTTTTATTCGCAGGCACTCCTCGTCTGTCTGCACGGTAACATTGGACTGAAAACACTCACTACTTGATGTAAACATCACAGCCCTCATATCATTGAGGCCGGAGTTTGCCATGCGATCAGAAATGCCTGAATAATTGACTAGCGTTGACATGTCAACTATGCAAGGCAATTGCATTGAAGACGTGAACGCTATGTTTAGACACCTCCTCGCCGGACTTTAAGGTGCTTTTCCTAAAAAGAAGTGAAATGACAAATAGCATTTTTGTAGTCGCAATTCGAAAACAGGGTTTTTGAAGTTATTTGTTACATAGAAATCTCATAATATCCTTGTTTCAAGGTCGTCGATCATTCTCCAGCCCAAGGCTTTACCATATTGAATAATTTATAAGTCTAATATTATAACATTTTTAATATGGTGTAAAATGTGTAAATAAAGACCGGTTTTTATTATATTAATGTGCTGTTGAATAAAAGTTGAACCACTTTTTAAGTCTATCCAACTCGCAGTTGTAAAGAAGTTGCCGTTACAGTGTCGTTGATTAAAACTAAACAAAGGTATCAGTTTCTGAATAATAGCCATCACAGTCAATGCGACATACGCGCAGCGAACGATAAGAAGGTTCGTACTAGTATCGTCGAGTATACAACGGCTTTCCTGTAATCTGATTGGCTGTATTTTGTATAGCATGGTATAAAGTTTGATATGATACAGTATTACACACTTTGATGCTTTCTAAAAGAACAAGATCGGGATCACATACATTGTAAAACTAGAACACAGTTTTATTACTTTTGTCAGATTACCGTTAATGATAATTTCTACTAGAAAGGAATCAAAGTACGCTTAAGAACAAAACACTGTTTTTGACTTGTAATGAAATTGGTATTTGCAACTGGTTATCATTGTCAACAGTTTTATACCCTTTTAAATCAGTTGTACACACACCACTTCTCGTTCAATTAAATAGTTAATTTGTATTAAATTAATAGCTCCTATTAAATGTTCGTGCAAAAACAATCAAGTTTGTTGAAGCTAAATACTTGATAAGGGAAACCAATGCAAAATTCTTGGCAATATTCCAAGAGAATGCTTCGTTTTGAAGTATTACTGCAAACCAAAAGCCTAAAGAGACTACATGTAGAATATCTTCTTGCACTAACTCGAACTTTAAGACTTCATAGAAACTTACCCCACCCCGAATTTTAGAAACACTGGAATTAATTCTTCGTAGATGTTGTTTCCTTTATCCTTAGTTTGCTTATACGCTGAGCTGCTTTCTATATTTAGTGTGTCAGTTTTGACAGCAAAATACCCCGGCACACCCGGAATTTTTGAAATTTCCATATCACGTAATTTCTACCTTCAAATCTTTTGTTTTGTTCTTTGGCAGCTTGTAAACTAGAACTGCTTTTCTCCCCGGAGTCACTCATCTCACGACGAATCTATTTTTTACCGAAAATGTTCAAATAAAAGCTATTTATCTTTTTGCCCTTGATGAGCCTCAATGGCAAAAAAGTCATCTATATAGCGGTTGACACAATATGGCAAAGAATGAGCTTGCCGATTGAGTGAGGTCACACTGAAGTCACTTGTTTGCTGGCGATGTGCATACCATTGGTGACAACACATTTTCTACCATTGTTGCTGGTCATTTCCAGGGCATTTTCGTCTGCTTCGCACTCGTCTCTTAACAACACTGCCTCTTCCCTTCCCGGCGTCCTATCCGATGTCTTCTTACAGCACCACGAAAGAATGTCGCTCCAGCTGAATTGTCCCCAATCCCCTTGTGGTCCTATTGTGCAGCAAAGGGCTTGGAAGAAGAAAGTCGAAAAGGCCCATCCTACGGTCATGACCAACATCAGAAAATGGCCCATCTGTAAGTAGGACAGGACTCTGGACGGCATCATCATTGCACCTGAAAACAACAACAAAACAATAATACTGACAAAGTTCCTTAAGTGAAAAAAAAAACTCTACGGCATTGATTGATAAGAACAGTCGGAAGTGAATGACGGGGATTTTATACGAGGGCAGGGGTGATAACTGAAATTTTGATTTTGCTGGTGTCGAACTGACCTTCAGGCAGTGGGGGGGGGAGTATAGTCCATACAGCTTTAATAAATGCTCACCAGCAATGAATGTTGTCACAGCTGCCATGGTGATGGCGGATCCCATCCGGGACAGTGAAAACTGAACGCGCGCCTTCCTACATTCCTTATTTGGAGCAAGACAGTAGGCTACCCCGAAATGCATCGCGAAGTCAATGGAGACACCAACTGCGACAGACATAGTTATGGACTCCAAGATGTTGAGCTTCCAGCCACTGAGCACTAACGAGCCGATCGTAACAGAAATAATACCAATGATTGTTAATATGGCGTAGATGCTGACAAGAACGTTCAGAGTGGTCAGCAACATTACAGCGAAAGCCATTGCTATGGCAATACCCATGGAAACCAGTGTTCCAGTAGAGAGGCTTCTTTGCAAGTCGTAAAATTCCATGGTGCTAATCAACCAGCCTTTGCGCATGCCCGCTGGCGCATTTTTAGTTTCATCCTCCATCCAGGATTCAATGCGCTCCCAGAACTGGTGCGCGGGTTCGTACGCGCGCGAAATTCTCACATTACTTTTCACGCGCATGTGCACACCCTTGAGATTTCCGTGTTTGTCGTAAATGAAGCTTCCTATGGTCGAGTCTTGTCTCTTGTATTTTAAAATCTGCGCACGAGCGTTTGCTGAAATGGCGCAGGAATCCAAAACGGTTTTGTTGAAAGGAAAGGGCGAATCTTTGCAACAAGGGTAATAGGAGACATGCGGCGTCAGCGGATCCTCACAGCTTTGATTGTAATACTTCTCTAGAAAACAATAGCTCTTTATACCTTCTTTTGTGGCGTAAAAGTCTTGCTTGCGAAGCCTTTCGCAGAAACCCAGAAACCATTGTTGGGATTCCTTGCTCGTGATGTCAAAATCCTCATCCCATTCAATTGTGCCATGGTCGTACGGGTTAAGGTAATCTCCAGTGTCAATTGCCTTAATCCCCCAAAAAATATCGATTGGGAAAGTCGCGCTTCCTTGTGAAGGACTTGTCTCGAAACGGAATTTATCTTTAAAGTGAAGTTCGTACGCTTCCAGGGGATGCTCGGATTCAAACATCTGGAAATCAGAAGATGTCGGAAGCTGGAATCCTGGCTCGAAGAGAAGAACTTCTAAACCGCCTAATGTAAGAAGCGAGAAGAGGACTATCCAGAAAAACCGCATTTTTATAACCACTCGAGGTAGAAATTCATTGAAGCAATAGCGAACTAATTTCGCTACGTACTTCTCATAGAACACTTTCATTTTTTGACTTGAAGACTCCTTAGTGCAGGACCGTGAAGCACATACATTCTCGTTTATGACACAAACAGCGGGAAACCACGTGACCATCATGCTGAACTTGCAGAGAATGGCTATACCTGCATAGATGCCGAAGCATTTAATGGTGGTTATTTGAGAGCTGAAGTTGGCAATAAAGGCAGCCGCTGTGGTGAAACTGGTAACGAACATCGATAAAGATGCGTGCTTCAACGTGTCAGCGGTGATTCGAGTCAGCGATGCGCCCGGGTTGTTTTGTTTTGATTGGCGCCAGACGTCAGTGAAGACAAAGGCGTCATCAGCTCCTATACCCACCAGGAATATCAAAGTAGTAATGTTCAGGAATGGGAAAAACTTCAAACCCAGCACGATCATGTACAAGAAATAGGCAATTATCAACGCACTCACAACGGAAAGCACTAACAGAAACGTAAGCAAAACCGACTCGGTGTAAAACCACATAATCAGTAGAATAAGCATCATGGCAATAGAAGGGTAAATGATGTCTGCCATTAACATGATGTTGAACATATCGTATTTTAAAAAATGAAATTCCGTTCCTACTAATTTAACACCTCCATCTGACACTTGCCCCTTCTTGATATGTTTCTCATACAATTGCCTTCTGAAATGTCTATCGCTCATCGCCGGACTCAATACCGCTGTATATAGCAACTTGTCTCCCTTAGGGGCGAAGAAGTCTTTGTCTGTAAGGTAGTAAAGCACATTGTGCACTGCGTTGTATCTGATACACTCTATGGGTAATCCTTGGCAAACGGGATATCCAATGCTATATTTAAAGTTCCAACAATTCTCTTTTAACGAAGCGTTGTTAAAAAACGGTGCGCACTGCCTTAGTAACGTTAATATCCGTGCGACATCAACTGAAGTTATATCTTGGCAAGAGGATCTCCCTGAAAGAGCTGCGATGTAATTACCGACTGACCAACTAGGACAACATTCGCTAACTGTTACAGTGCCATAACGGATGTTTCTTCTGTAGCAATTTGATTGAAATCCATCCGTCTCCCGCACGACTCGTTCTTCCATGCGGCATACAGCCCGAAGATCAGGAACATTAAACAAATCACCACCTGAAGTTATCGACGCGAAAACCATCTTGTACGTAATGGTATTTTTCATGAAGACATTTGGACTGTCACACATGGCCAGACGATATTTGCTCTTAACCTGACCGAGCTTTTCATCCCTTCGGGTTTTTGTTGTCTTCGTGGTAAGTAGATCAACAAGTGAAGACACGTTGCCAATGGTGATATTAATATCTTGTTTCGGACTGGTTGCAACGAGTCAACGATTTGCAGCCTTCCCGAGCGCAAGCATCGTGCGATATCGTTTGTTGATTACTGTTCCACGAGGATCAAAACCCTAAGTTAATTAAGTAAAAAAAAGAAACACCACAATTAGAGAACAGTCTGTTTTTCACTGAGAGACGAATGCGCAAATGTGCACATCAAAACACTGTGATTCTCATGTATGTGCTTTTAAGATTAATATAATCTCTTATGCTTATTTTACAATTGCTAAAACTATTACTCAATCAAATGTTTCATGCAAGTTTTGCTTCTTTGAGATAAAAATGAAAAATTATTTAACAAGGCATAACCTTACCATAACTGGAGTGGAAAAATCTGGAATTTCAGGAGCATTAAACTGAGGAACAAAGGAGCAGAGACCACAAATCACGATCACCAATGAGGTCACGAAGAACACTGCATACGGGTACTCTGCTAGAACTACTGAGTACCTGAGGAGCAAAATAAAAACTTGGGTTTAATACTATCTACTGTGCAATACTTTTTGACTTTTTTTCAATGCTTGTGTTGGCACAGTTTCACGGCTGTTAAACGAAACAGCCTTAGGTTCCTGAAGTAGAGCAGTGAACCGAACAAGAACAGGCTTTAAATTCAGTTTACCAGTTAACAAGTTGGTGAAGTTACGTTTGACAACCTTTCTCCTTCAATATGTGGAGTGGATGGCTCAGCATTCGGGAGTGATCAGGAGTCCTCAAAGAAGTTGACTTTTTCCGCGGTGGGTGGGGGGAGGGGGGATTGGGGAGAGGCAGCACGCCAGTTTATCATGCAGTGTTGTAACATGCATATCATGTTAGCCTATCGGAAGTTACAATCAACAAGGCAGGTCTCATTAGAAGCTGCAATAACCAAGTGCAGCCAAAAACGGAATGGCAGCACTCTATTTACCTGCGTGTTTATTTACTGTGTAAGCCCACAGGGAAACCCGGCCTTGGGCAAAGTAGACGAAGAAAAAACTATTACCTCGGCATGTTACACTGGTTTGTAGTTTGGTTATGTTGCTCCAACCCCTCATTGTTTTCGTTGTTATTTCTGTTGTCTTCTTCGTCAGTTCTCTGAGCTCCTTCGCTCTTTAACGTAATCGCCAGGTTACAAAGCTGCTGATCATCCATACCTGAACAACTTAGCTTGAAAATTTGCTGTTTTGGTCATATAAACAAGAATTCCAGCTTCGCCCTACGAAAAGGCGAAAAGACAACACAGCCAGACGTGTTTTAACCTGAGAAAACTTGACTAAACAATCCAAATTTAAAATAATCGGAGAAACTTAAAGCCTAACTGGTTCAGTAGAGTAAGTCTCTTTCGAGGTTAATTTTAAATACTGGGGATTAAAACCTTTGTAAGCAAAGCTAAAAAGCTTTTTTAAGCCTAGTTGGTTAAAATAAAATCTCACTTGAGGTTTAAATATGGGGTCTCAAAAACCTCAATAAACAAAGTTTATGCACAAAACAAAACCATTTTACAATAAAGGTGTTTTCTTGTCGCGAACACTGAGTGACTTCGCCTTTAAACAAATTTAATATGGCGGGCAAGCTGCCATGGGAATATGAAACAACAGAAGACATGGACTTATTTATGGCTGCAACGGTTACAGTGGACATTTAGTCGATCTAGTTAGTTTGGTTGGTTTGCTCTCAGTTTTCACCGTCGAGTCAACATTTTACTCAGTTCACATACCAATAATAAATTAAGTTTTTAAAGACAGTTTAAAATAATAACAAGACTGAGCTTAAAACAGGCCAGACTGTTGGTTTTACAAGACCCAGTGTTCTTGGCTGCTCTATTTCAGTGCAGTGTAGGCAGGCAGGTGTGAAAGTTTCAGACGAACTACGGAAGTTTACGGAAAATAACGAAGCAAATTTCTCAAAGTACAAAATTCTTAAATTTTCGTCGCTAAAATGGATGTCAATTATCATATTGCACTTTGGCCACGCCGGCTTGGTAAACAGTATGAAAATTTAATAAGTTTTTGTCCTTATTTCAACTATTAATTGCTTGCTCGCCGCCAGTTTAATATCATATATAGGTGAATAAATCTGATTTGAATTTTGCTCACATGAAGAGAGATTTACAGTCATAACATTCAACTAAAAGCAAGTCGAGGTGACAACGTTGCAACGAATCTCTTGAACCACTATAATTTGTTTATTTTCGTTGCGGGTTAACATGGAAAAGTTTTCAAAATTAATATATGCTTGATGCGATTTCAACAACAGGGAATTAAATTGTTTTCATAAGTATCTTTCTCGATGTTCGTCTTTTTAAATGATTTTCTTAAAATACACTACTTTTGATTTCAAAAAGGGTTATGGAATTTTGTTCATACAATAAATAAATTATATCATTTGAACTATTTGTCTTCTTTTTCCTCCGAAAAGCTGCAAATTTCCTATCGTAAATGTGTTTCTTTATCTGTTGACTTAGGCTTTCAGCCGGAAGCTGTTTTTGTTACCTTGACTTTACCGCGTAATATTTTTGACTTGCAAAGTTCAGCAGCCTTAATCCCAAGTTTGGCTCATTAAAGTTAAAATCACTCATTAATGCTGAAACTATACATTTCCAAGAAGTTATTATATTTTTTTTTGGGGNGGGGGGGGGTCGGCTTAAATAAGAAATTCTACCATGTACCGCGTGCTGAGCCATGTGGTAATCATCATTTCTTGCTCATGCAAAATACATTGTAAACCAAACCTGCGCGGTTTGGAACGTATTCAACAAAAGAAAGAAACTTAAATTAAAATTTGCGCATTTCGTTATAAACGGTTGATATACTGCCATAAAAAGTTCACATCGACATTATCGAATGAGTATAATTTTGAGCGAAGCGTTAGCGTGCGGTTTTGCGCGGCGTTGTTTTTGGGATTTAGACTACCAAAGTGCCTCAATTTCACCTCAATAATGAGACATTCATTTTTAAATATCTGCGAGACACTTTGTTTCTCCCTCATAAAGTTGAGTTACAAATCGTTAAGTCAGCATAACATTTCTGGAGGGCGTTTATTGAAATATTTGGTATGCTTAATTGACAGCCTCAAATTTACCTGTAATTGCCAACTGAATATTCATCCTAACCTTCCTGATTTGCAGCTGAATTTTATAGCTTCAAGTGATCGCGCTGTCGCTGAAAATCGACTATGCTGTTTGAATCACTCGAAAGTTTCTTGTTTGAGCGGACACGGGCAATGGAAAAGACATGGTTTAATTTATCAGCGATGGTATCTTTTGCAAACGACGTAATTTTGTAGTGAAAAAACAATTAATACTGTTTATACACAATAAAGTTTGTGGTAGCTACCTTTACTTTTAAAAGCGTCAAAGGTATTCTGAAAGAAAAAACAATCATTTCAAACGATAGCGAGACGCAATGGGATAAAGTCTAATTCGCTATAATAAATTACCTGGGTACGAGAACAATAACACCCTTATGCTAAAATATTCAATGATATGATTATAAACTGCAATATTTTCCTTGTCCTTGGGTTTATGCTTTGGGGCAGCATATATCCCAATTACTTAGCGACTACTGCAACCAATACGAAATAAGCTTCCGGCATTAAATTGTGTTGTTCTCTGCTTTCCGTAAGTCTTTTTAAGCATTGCCGAGCTACAAAAGGCCAAAACATTTTCGAATACAATTTGCTCTTATAGAAAACACTTACCCTGTATACTTAACGATTGAGTTAAGCATCGAGGATTCTAGGAAATCAAGAAGTTAACATTCTTGAAAGCTTCGGAGCGGAGCGGAGCGCGTTTCATCTGCTCCTGGCTCCGAGCAGAGAGCGAACAAAAACTTGATACAAAAGCGGTTTTGCCGGTATAAACTTCCGGTTCTTCATCGCCATGACAACCCGCAATCATTTCCGGTAGTGTCACATCTGCCACCTGTCAACATGTTCTAATGAAGGCTGGCTATCCAGCGCCAAAGAAAACAACACGCAGCGATACTAAGAAACTCCTCGTAATTCAGCTGATATGCTGGAGGGCAATTAATATCACAGGTTTATGCTGCAAGACAAGTGTGAAGCATTGCTGGAAACCCGTAGAATGTAGCTTGGCCAATCGCAGGTTAACTCAAGTGTTTTTGTTGTCAATTTGCTCTAACAGTTATCCCAGTGCCCTGACATTTATCGGTGGTAACAGGCTGTCTCTCATAATCACAATCCGGGCCATAGACGCTATAGGGTTAGACTGCTGGCAGTCTGTTTTTCTCTCGAAATTTCAGTAGGGGTTATGAGACGAGACACTTAAACCTAAAGGGGAATGGGACGAGACATGGGCACAGCATGCACGAGACGAAAAACAGTTTCACCTTCTTCCCTACTCGGCCATTCCGCCCTTGTCCCGCCTTCTTCCCTACTCGGCTACCGCCATACCGCGCCCTTTTGCGTTCGCGATGACACTCGTGTAAGTGACCGTTAGAGAGAAACCCGGCTGCCAGCAGACTACTATTGGGTTCGAGCACAGAATCTATCACTAGCTATAGGCTAACCTCGCACTGAGCTACCCACACTTAAAAATTGTCGTTGGAATTAGATCAAGGCCATACAGAGATATATATGCGGTGACCCGTTGACCTGGTTTCATCGTTTAACTCTTAAAACCGGGCGTTTGCGCTAGAAGAGACTATTTTTGATGTTTAAGACGGTTGTCATCTGTTTTAGTGATAAGATATAACATTATTTGTTCCACAGATCGGGCGGAATCTTTGGAGTGCTTATGACTCGTGGTTGATAAGACCGAATTGTTCAGTACTAGTTCAAACTCGACTGAACCCAAAGGGATGGGCAGAAGAAGCTGATGTCACAACAATTCAGCTACAACAATTCAGCTTTTGAAAGATTTTTGAAATATGCCAATTTCCGCTTTCTATTCGCAAAGTTCTGAAAATGATTGGACCCGAAATGACGCCTATTCCCACGGATTGGTTTTGTCAGCTGTTTTAGCCATGGAATAACATGCATTATTATATGGCTTCTGTTTGTGGCGGCGCTCGAATTGGTTAATTCTAGCGCATTATTCTCACGTAATACCCACTGGCGGATTACCGGCTGGAAAAAACAAGGCAAAGGGTAATTGAAATTGTTGTTCTGAAAATTGTTGCGGCTGAAAACGATGAATAATAGAAAAACTCTGAGAGTGAATTATATTATCAGAAGAACAGAAAACTCACAATGTTAAACTATGATCCAGTTGGTGCCCGACGGGACAGCCAAACAGCTTTTGATGAGCCATATAATAGACTACTTGTTAACCTCGAAAGTTCATTCTTCACGTGAAAATCTCAAAGCTCGGTAATGCCGCATTGACCTCGTCATCACTCGGTTAATATTGCGAGGTCTCGGTTTGCTGTCTTTTCCTAAAGAACCCACTCTCGGTTAATGAGTAGTTCTCATCGTAAAATGATAGCGAAGCGCGCGAGTGACGACATAACTCAGACAAACTCAGACAAACAAAATGGAATGGTGGAAAATTTGACGCTTTTACAAGCACGTAAGCAAGTGTTACTCCTATTTCTCTCAGGACACGCTAATGTTGTCCGACTCTCGCGGGGTTTCAATAATTTGCATTCTAGTTTTAGACTTCGCGTACTTCGTTATTGAGATACTATGCACATTCTCGTTGGTCGATAGGTGTGTTTAGACGAGAGTTTGTAAACACGGAGTGGCAATATTTTATTAAAACAATGTAGGACATTTTCCGTGTTTACATAGTTGCATCTTAACACTCAAGGGGCCAGCAAAGTACGTTGGGTGATATTAACATAAATTCCAGTGAAAAAATAAAAAATTTAAAAGACTCAAAAATGATGTGGTAATGGGTCCTAATGGCGTGGAAATAAAAATATGCGAAATTCAAGTCAAGTGAGTTTTCATATAAAAGAATTAGCGAAAATCATAATTCAGGTATGGAGCTCCGATTTGTTTGCCTTATTAGACTGAGGAAAATGGTTTTAGCAAGGCAGTTACCATCAATCCCAGACTTGGCTCGAACTCGCACTCGAGCTCTTTCCCTAAGGCCACTACACCCCTTGCTTGACACCATTGAAAGGCACTTGTACCCGGCTCCCTCGCCTTATACAGTAAAACGTTCACATAGGTTCATTGTTTAACATCTTCCCTTGGTTTAACTGGTTATTAAGTTATCTAACGGAGTCCATGATGCTCTACTCCGGTAATGTCCGCTTCTTCTGCTCCATTTGAACAGTAGTAAAATTCTTTGGTAGGTATAAACATGAGTTAAACACGTTTATTAATACATGCCCTTTGTTTTATTTATTTTTGGCAATAAAACAAAGTATACATTGTTATGTACTTTATATGCCTTATAGATAAAACCCGCTTCATACAGCGAAAAGAATAACTGACGGATAACTTTTGTGCCAAACACCTTCCCAAAAAGTTTGTTATATAATCTGACTCTGAATTT